GGCTCTTGGAGAACTCTTCTTGGAAACAGCAGCCACTGGGGGATTCGTCGCCCTTGTTTCCATATGGTGTTTTAACTCAGGGATCCCCAACATATTTGAGCCAGTGGGCACCTTTGGAATCCTGACACAGCATGGAGGGTCCGGCCACACAAAATGGCTGCCGCAGGAGGTGGAGCAGCCAGCCACAAAAATGGCTTCTGCAGCTTACCTCTTAATCACACAGTGAAGACCCTTGCGCCGTGGTGGCAGCTGCCGCCAAAGCAGCACGGTTAAAAATCTGCACAGCCAATCAAATCTCCAATGGCCAATCAAAAGCCTTGCTGGGAAAAAGCCCCAAACCGGCCCCACCCACTTTCTAAAAAGCAGCTGTGGGCACGGCGAAATGTGTTGACAGGCACTATGCTGGCCTGCCCTAACTGCAGGCATGGTTGCACAGTACCAGACGTTTACCCCAACATCTTCCTCATTGGATTCTGGGAGACAGCTGTGATGGTGTGGTGGCAGCCTTTGGGGGCAGCAAAATATCTTTGGACCACCCTATGGCAAAAGGAGGTTCTCATACTTAATTGGAGCATCTCACAGGCCCAAACCTCGGGTGCCAACCTGCAAGCGGGCAAAGTCAACAACTGCTCGTACACAGGCCTTCTCCGTTGTGGCCCCCCAAGGTCAACAACGCTCCCCCTCTGCTGGCCTTCCAGAAACTATGCAAAACCGTGTTGTTCAAGAGGGCTTTTCTGCACAGGCAATAGAGTTACACTGTACTAAGTGATGTGCAGATCAACTTGGATAAATTATTATAGACTGTGGTCTATTCTGCTGGGTAAAAGGTAAAGGTAAAGGTTCCCTTGCTCGAAAGCCAGTCGAGTCCAACTCTAGGGTTGCGGTGCTCATCTCTGTTTCCAAGCCGAAGAGCCAGCGCTGTCTGAAGACGTTTCCGTGGTCATGTGGCCGGCAGGACTAAACGCCGAGGCGCACGGAACGCTGTTACCTTCCCACCGAAGTGGTACCTATTTATCTACTTGCAATTTCTTGCTTTCGAACTGCTAGGTTGGCAGGAGCTGGAACTAGAGACGGGAGCTCACTCCGTCATGCGGCAACTCGGGTCTTGAACTGCTGAACTACTGACCTTCCACAGCCTGCAGTTCAGCGTCTCAACCACCTGAGCCACCGCAGCTACATTCTGCTGGGTAGACCTTGCTAAAAATAGGAACTTAACTATGTAATTTTTGCTTCATTCAAGGTGTGATGTTAATACTTACGCTTCGCCTCAGCTCTGTTGTTAGACTTCTGGCTGGTTCTACAACCTGAATCCTGTTGCACTGTTTATTGAATAATATCCCATGCTGTCGATTGTATTGACTAATTCTGTGTAATCTGCTTCTGTGTAATTTGTATAATCTGAGCCAGTGTGGTGTCGTGGTTAAGAGCGGTGGCCTCTAATCTGGAGAACCGGGTTTGAGTCCCCAGTGGATCAGTTACAGATCTCTCAGAGCAGTTCTCTCAACAGCAGTTCTTCCAGAGCTCTCTCAGCCCCACCTACCTCACAAGGGGTCTGTTCTGGGAAGAGGAAGGGAAGGCGATTGGAAACCACTCTGAGACTCAGAGTGAAGAGTGGGGTATAAATCCATCGCTTCTTCTTCTTTGAGTCCAGGCGAGACAGGAAGACTAGAAATAATGTAACCAAATAGACGGACGAAATACCTGTTCTTTGGGGTGTGGAGATCTTGTTGCTGGTCTCCAGGGCCAGTCCGGCGTCCAGAAATACTCCCACGTGGTTACTGCCGCTGCCGGCTGTGCATCCGATGTCACTCTTCTCCACCGTGTCCCAGATCTGCCCGTGCAAAAGAAACCAATGCGAGGACCGACCAGAGCAGACTCAGCGCTGGGAACAATCCGGCGCTGGGTGGTCCCCCACGGGGCACGCCCCGCCCTCACCTTTGCTTGGGTCAGCTTGTACTTCTTGTTGAGGACGTAGACGCCTTTGTCGACAGCCACCAGGCCAACGTGAGCATTCGCGTCTCCTTCCAGCTTGATTTTGGTTACCGATCCCGGTGTGTGGATTCTGTTATCTGCCTCAGTTGCTCCAGTCACAACAAGCTGTTGAACAAAAGTGTCAACGAGGTCAGGTCTAAACCATGGAAAGAGCCTGGTTGGAAATATTTGTCGGGAAAAAGAATGGTTTGTGATCTTGTACCAAACTCTTATCCTTTAAGAAGTCTTATGGATCTCCCATGGTCTGACCCAGGCAGGCTCTTCTGGTGTTCTTATGAGGGGAAGGCCTCGGCCTCTCTGCCCTGTTGCTGGCCCTCCGGAGGGACTGGCTGGCCCCTGTGTGAGACAGGATGCTGGACAAGATGGACCCTCCCTGGTCTGACCCAGCAGGGCTCTTCTGATGTTCTAATGAAGGCCTCGGCCTCTCCGCCGTGTCGTTGGCCCTCCAGAGGAACTGGTTTGCCACTGTGTGAGACGGGATGCTGGACTAGATGGACCTTCACTGGTATGATCCAGCAGGGCACTTCTGAGGTTCTTATGAAGGCCTCGGCCTCTCCGCCGTGTCGTTGGCCCTCCAAAGGAACTGGTTGGCCACTGTGTGAGACGGGATGCTGGACTAGGTGGACACTCACTAGTATGATCCAGCAGGGCTCTTCTGAGGTTCTTATGAAGGCCTCGGCCTTTCCGCCGTGTCATTGCCCCTCCAGAGGAACTGGCTGGCCCCTGTGTGAGACGGGATGCTGGACTAGATGGACACTCACTAGTATGATCCAGCAGTGCTCTTTTTAGGTTCTTTTGATGCACAGCTAGAGACACAGGGACTCTCCCAGGAAAAATGAGTGCTTGTTCCCCTGGGGAACGACCAAGTTTATGATAAAACCACTTGAGCCTCCTGGTGTGCAATTTCAGAGGAGCTGAGAGAGTCTCCAATCCCCTAAATAAAGAGCATGTTCCTGAAGACCTGCATTTCAACCCCAAAGGAATTTTAAAATTGAAACACAACGTGACTCAGCTCTTACACTCCTTCTGAACTGTCACAAGTGACAACAGGTACACATGAGTAGCCCCACAGCCCATTCCCATCACGGGTACTTCTTAGTGATTCTGGGGACACTGGGGACAAAAGTCCAGGATGGATCCTCAGAATCGGTTTGCCTGATGACGAAGAACCGATGCGTGTTAATAAATCTGACTCTGGCTTCGTAGGTCCAGCACTTTCTAACCAGAATGGAAACAAATCTGGAAAGGGATGGGATTTGCCAGATTTTGGATTAATAATAATAACAACAACAACAACAACAACAATAATAATAATCTTTCAATTTATTAATCACTCAATCCTGCAGAACTTGCTGGCTCCGAGCGATTTACAGTTACTCATATACATACGGGACTAACAATGATTCAAAGGGGTAAGGGAAGACAACATATAAATCTTTAAATCACACACATTCGTAGCCGATGGGGAGTTTGTTCAGCTGTAGGGTCAGACATGTTCCAACGGCATTTTCTCCCTTGGCGTGGCTTGATGTCATCAGCTTTCTCCAGGAGTGCTTCAAGTTGCAGCGTAGCACTGCCACCACCTGGCCGGACAGCCCATTACAGGCTTCCTTGATGCCGAAGAGTTATTTCTAGGCTTTTGGTCTTATGCGCTGGACATTCCGTTCGCCGGCTAACACCTCCCCCACCGGGGGGGTTTAGTGTGCCCACCCTCTCGAAGGAGTGGTTACCCATTTTATCTACTCGCCGAAGCTTTTGAACCGCTAGGTGGTTATGCATTCTTTTTTTTCCTCTCCATCAATTTTTTCCCCAGCTACAGCCACTTCACTTACCGTTCCCATGCAGGTATCTTTCACATCCACCCAGACAGAGTCAGCCACGATTTCGCTGTTCCCGATTTGAAAGTAAGCCACGATTCGGAAAGAAGGGATGAGGTCCGGGGTGATGGGCAGAGACATCGTCACCAGGTTCTGCCCCACGGCCTTGAGCTGCCTCCCGGTCTTGAAAATCTTTCCTTTGGTCATGATCTGATGGAGAACCAGAGACAGTAGTGTGGTAAGAGGGAAGAGGCTGAAACACAGAGACTGGGATAACGCTGGATTCACACAGCTCAGAGCTAGGAAAGCTCCTGGAGATTCTGTGTGCTCCATGGGGCTTGTTGTTACCCAAAGAGGCAGTCCCCAGTTTAATTGGGGGAATTAGCTTTAAGGAGACAGAGCGAGAGGTGGGCAACTGGGATCTCCACCAGTGTTTACAGGGAGCTTTCCCTTAGAGGACTCTCAAAATAAACCAGTACGATATATAAACTAGAACGGATTTTATTGAAATAAGACTAAGAGTGCAAAATACACATACAAACACACTAAAACACACACAAACTAGCTAAGGGGAGAATTAGGGAGGAAGTGAGAGAAAGTGATTTCGGAGAGGCGACAGGTACCAGTCTTGGAGAGTGAGGTCCACGGAGACAGCTGCAAAACAGCCAGCATTTCACAGAGTGAAGAAGGAAACCCACACACAAGTGGGGGTGTGAAACTGATGTCAAGGACACACACACAAACTGGACTAGTGTCTGGGTGTGCTTGATATAGGAAAAGTGTTCCCTGGGGCTATGCTGACTTGATTTTTTTCACCGAGTAACAATGATTTGGGCAAAACCTTGATGGGCATGCCTGAGATGCATGTTTTTTGATGACCTGTCAAGTACTGTATGGGAAAACTACCAGGTTCTATGAATAGGGTTAAATGTGCATAATTAGGGTAAATGGGTAAGAGGAAGTGAGGCTGGGCATGTGATGAGGTTAATTCAAGGTGAAGAGAAACCCAGTGTTCCTAAATTATACATCTCCTCACAGTGTGGAGAGGTCGTTAGTTAGTCAGTTGCTTCTGTTAGTTAGTCAGTTGCTTCTGACTCACCTTCAAAAACATTTTCCCAGGCTTGTCACTGATTGGCATCCATTTCATGTCATTTTAGGCCAGAAAGTGTCCTATATTTATGATTTTTGAGGTGATATTTGTATGCAGGGTGTTTACACCTTTCTCTCTCTAATCACTAAACTGCCCTTCTGAGGGAGGAGGGGTCTGACTGCTAACATTGTCAGTGTGGGTCACTGGAGTGATATACATGGCGGAATGAACATATAGCACTGCCAGGGGTACCAACCTCCAGGTGGGGCCTGGAGAACTCCTGGAATTACAACTGACCCAAAATCAGTTCCTCTGGAGAAAATGGCTGCTTTGGAGGGTGGGCGTTATACCCTGCTGAGATCCCTCCCCTCCCCAAACTACACCTTCCCCCAGGATCCACCCTCAGAGCTCCAGGAATTTGCCAAGCTAGACTGGGCAACCTTAAGTGCACTGCTGGAATGGAAGCTCCAGGCAATGTGGCCAACTCACATGAATTCACAGGAACCCCCACCTCCAGTTGAGAGCTAGGGTCGCCAAGTCTATCTTCGCCGGGAGCGGGGGGCTCCCGGTCGGCGTCTTGTGCACGCGTGTGCGTGCGAAGTGCACACCGCAAGCACATCACCCGGAAGTGACGGGAGGACGCCAGGCACGCTGGGGGCGGGGCCATGGCCATACAAGGGAAAACCATAGAATTTTCCCTTGTATGGCCCCCCCGGAGCCCGATCTGGCGGCGCCGGGGAGCGGGCCTCTGGGGCGGGGTTTTCCCCGCCCCCCAGGGGGGACTTGGGATCCCTATTGGGAGCTGAAGGTCCCCTGGAATTACAACTGATTTCCAAACTACATAGATAGTTAATTTGTTTGTTTGTTTGTTTGTTTAACAGCTTTATTCTACTTATTCTGGAGAAAACGGCTGCTTTGGAAGGCGGACTGACTGGCATTCTAGCCTGCTGAGGTCTCTCCCCTCCCTAAAGCCCAGCCTCCCCAGCCTCCACCCTCAAATCCCCAAGCATTTCTGAACTTGGGGTTGGCAACCTTATGTGACATGGTGTCAGCTCCGCTGCCATTGTAAAGGGGGGAAGGCAGGAGGCCGCTGGGTGAGCATCTTCATGTGCTGGAATGTTAACTTTCATTTCCTTCGCTGTGCCTTTGCTCATTCCTGGGCTTCTGACCTTGGTACCTTGGTCCTGTCCCTTCGCCGGGAACCTGAACCCGTTAGTTTAGGCGCGTTGCAGCTCATCCTCTGATTGGCCTAATTCCATCAGGGGACCCCGTTTTGAAACCTGTATATCTTCCCTCTCCTGCCCTGGTAGTTAGATCTAACACTGAATGTATGGACAGATGACCTGCCTTTACTGTACTCGATAAACTTGATCCTTCTGAAGGAACGTTGTTGAGACTGATTGCTGTGGGACTCTGACACATGGGATTGGGGTGGTTTTTGGGCCTCCCCACAGAAGACCTCAAACCAAACCTCTCAAGAGAAAGAAGGAGAGGAGGAGGAGGAGGTGGAGGAGGAGGATAGATGTGCACTACCCAAACAGAGTCTCAGAGTGGCTGACAATCTCCTTTCCCTTCCCCTCCCCACAACAGACACCCTGGGAGGTAGGTGGGGCTGAGAGAGCTCTGTGAGAAACTTCTCTTGAGAGAACAGCTCTGAGAGAACTGTGACTGACCTGAGGTCACCTGGCTGGCTGCATGTGGAGGAGGAGTGGGGAATCATGCAAGATATTCCTAGTTCCTGCTTTTCCATGAGGCAGTTCGAAAGCAAGAAATTGCAAGTAGATCAATAGGTACCCCTTCGGTGGGAAGGTAACAGCGTTCCGTGCGCCTTGGTGTTTAGTCAAGCCGGCCACATGACCACGGAAACGTCTTCGGACAGCGCTGGCTCTTCGGCTTTGAAACGGAGATGAGCACCACAACCCTAGTGTCAGATTCGACTGGCTTTCGAGCAAGGGAACATTTACCTTTACCTAATCACAGGTCCCTGGAGATCTATCTATTTAATGAATTACCTTTCGGTCAGTTGAACTCCAGGTGGGTTACAACATATTAGAAGAATGCAAAAAAAATGACTTATTGATGGACTGCCAGTCCTCTCCTTTGGGGTGTTATGATGCACGAAAAAATAACTGCAGCCAACATCCTTCAGTGGCATGACTTTTTGCAGTTGAAGCTTAAATATACCCAGGAGGACATCTTCACATTTTCTTGAACATTTTCTGCTCCATACCCCCGTGGGAGGAACAGAAATTGGGGAGAAAATTTCAGGCAGACGTTTCAGGCACCCCCTTCCTGTCTGTCATTTCTCTGGTGCAAACTGGTGAACCAGGAAGCAACACACACAAAAGAGGAAACAGGGGGCCGCTGTGTAATCTGAAGTTTGGCCCTTAGACAAGGCACTGTCATCTCACTCCCTTCCATTGGTGGAGGCGTTGGCTGCTAGGGCATGGTTTCCCTAGGGACGTAACAATTTTCCAGCCCTCCAAGGTCTTCGGCTACCAGGGGCTCCTTCCAGAGAACATAAGTATTAATTACAAAGGAGAAGGAGAAGAAGGAGGAGGAGATTGGATTTCTACCCCACCCTTCACTACCCAAGGGAGTCTCAGAGCGGCTGACAAACTCCTTTCCCTTCCCCTCCCCACAACAGACACCCTGGGAGGTCGGTGGGGCTGAGAGAGCTCTGGCAGAAACGGCTCTTTCTCAAGGACAGCTCTTGTCAGAACTATGGCTTGCCCAAGGTCATCCAGCAGCTGCAAATGGAGGAGTGGGGAATCAAACCTGGTTCTCCCAGATTAGCATCCGCGTACTTAACCACGACACCAAAGGAGATTTGGCCCTTGGATTTCCCCCCTGCACTTACTATGTAGGTGAAATAACGGATCTGGTCCATCACGTTTGGTCTGTTGGTCTTCACATTGAAATTGATCGGCAAGTTATCCCCGGCCCTGAGCTCCCTGGCTGTGACGGCCAAATGGAGGTAGTTCCCGGACTGTCCCTGGGTCTGGTAGGCGTTGGCCAAGATGGTATTGCTGGCCTGTGCATTGGCCTGGACTTTCGGGTGCCTGGTTTTGACCTAAAAGAGAGAGAGAGTCATCAGTCAAATCCCAAAGCCCCTACAGCATCCTTTTAATTCCATCACAAAGAAAATGGAAACGCCACTTCAAGTTCTGCTGAAAAAAAAGCTGTGGGAAGGAAGGAATTGGCTCCGATCCTGGGGAAAGGAGCATCTACCAAGCTTTTTGTATGACCTGCATATTCCTGCAGGGGTGGTGTTATGTATTTGCTTATTGGTATTGCTTAAAGTAACTAGCAGAAGCTTCAGACACAAACTCCATAGACAAAGCCTAATGTCACGGGCTACTGTTACCCAGCTGAGAGCCTTATAAAATATGGTCCCTCCCCCATCAATCTCTGAATTTCTGTGACAAATGGGTGGTCTGGCCCAAACCGCATTGTCCTCTGTCCAAAAGGGTGTGGAAGGGTGGTCCAGCGTGGAATGGGAATGACTGGGTCCCAGATCCCAGGCACTCTAGGTGGCGCTCTTGAGTCTTCGCAAAGTTTCTGTCACATCCTTCCTCGAATAAGTGAGAGTATGAAGCACAGTCATGCACATATACCTCATCCAGGGTTCCCTCTAAGCTGAGTGAGTGTGAGCTAGCTCACGGGTTTTTTAGCCTCCGGCTCACACATTTCTGCCTTCGCTCAGGAAGGATGGGGGCTCCAGAGCAAACTAATACATGCAGCAGCCAAATTGGTCGCTCACAACTTTAATGCCAGGAGCTCACAAAGTAGATTTTTTGCTCACAAAACTTCACAGCTTAGAGGGAACATCCATCAGACTCCACTCAAACTCACCTGTGCACAGGTACAATCCTATCAGGGCCTAGCATCAAAGCACATTTCCCTCCTCGGCACAGAAAATGAGGAGGACGGTGGATTTATGTATAAAAGGAAGGGTCCCGCCAATCCTTCCGCTAGGGTGAGCTGAATCTGCTTGGACCAACAAAGCCCTATATCGTGCACTGAGCAGGGAACCCTCCCCTAAAAGCTCCCAAGCTCCCCAGGAAAACTGGCTTTGTGTATAGACCAGAGGTCCCCAACCTTTTGGGGCCTGTGGGCACCTTGGGAATTCTGACATTGTCTGGTGGGCGCAGCCGCCAAAGGGCTGCCGCCAAATGGCTGCCACAGAGCCGAACCCATGCAGAAAATGGCTGCCACAGCTTAGCTCCGATCACACAGGGAAGAGGCTTGTGCTGCGGAGGCAGCTGCTGCCGAAGCCATCTCCAGTGGTCAAGGTCAGAGGCCTTGCTGGGCAGAAGCCCTAGTTGGCCCTCCCCACTTTCTACAAACAGCTGGCGGGCACCAGGAAAGGTGCTGGAAGACGCCATGCTGCCCATGGGGACCACGTTGGGGACCGCTGGTATAGACAGTCGCCACAAGCCGAGTGAAACTCGGCACAATCTCAGAACAACTCACTGTGATTCTCAGCTGTTGTTGGTTTGCTGGCGTGTTCAGGATAAGTTTGGCAGTTCCATCGCTCTGGGTAAGCGCCTCCGCTACGATGGGATCCGATACCACGGGGATATTTGGAGCTGGGGAGCCATCAGGGTTGGTGACAAAGGCCTGGGAGAAATCAGAAGAGCACAAAGAACCAGCGTGAAGCACACAGAAACCTCCACTGAGCCCAGCTCACTTCTCCACTTCATCTGGAATATCTGAATATAATTCCACTGCTGCCTATGACTGTTGATATAGTTTTAAACTAGCTTTATCTGATCCTGTAGGCTCAACCAGATGAGACGCAGATCACCCGCTTAGTCCATCCACTGCAAACTGCAGGCTAGAGCAGCCTCGATTTGCCTCAGAGCTGTGCACAGGAAAAGAGAAAAGGTTTAACCCTTCAACTTCCGCTCACTTTTGCTTTTTAAAGCTGGCTCCCTCCCACAATTAGTTTTTCAAGGAGAAAATGTTTCCTTTAAGAAAAGCCACAACCAAGTGCACTCGCTTTCCTGTTTGGCCCCGAGGCAAATTGAGGTATGCATTGTACAGACAGACCGAGATGTTCATTCTTCAGTTCGCCTGTTTGAACACCGAGACTGGGCCATAAGAAGATTTTAATTAATAGTACTGTACCGTCAGTTCATACGGCATTCCTGGCTTGAAGTACTTGGGGGTTCTTGTGAAGTGGATTTCGTAGGGAGATGTCACAATCTTAATGCCACTTTGTTCAGCTACCACCATGTCATTGCCTGCGAAAGCAAGAAAGAGATGCAAATACGAATGTGAATCCCCAGTTGTTGGGGGAGGGGAATGTAACGTTTGAGAACCAATTCCAATTCAGGAGGGGCAGAAGCATCCCAAAGTGATGCTATGGATTTCACCAAGATTTTGATAAAGTTCCTCATCAAAGGCTCCTAAGTAAGCTCAAAAATCATGGGATATGTTAATGCCCTTTTATGCCCTTTTATGGATTAAAAACTGGCTAATTAAATGGATTTCACCAAGATTTTGATAAAGTTCCTCATCAAAGGCTCCTAAGTAAGCTCAAAAATCATGGGATATGTTAATGCCCTTTTATGCCCTTTTACGGATTAAAAACTGGCTAATTAATAGGAAACAGAGAGTGAGTAGTGAAGTGGCTAAATTTGCGGATGATACAAAGTTGTTCAGGGTGGTGAAAACCAGTGAGGATTGTGAGGCACTCCAAAGGGATCTGTCAAGGATGGGCAAGTGGGCGTCAACATGGCAAATGGGGTTCAATGTGGCCAAGTGCAAGGTGATGCACATTGGAGCCAAAAATCCTAAATATAAATACACATTGATGGGGTCTGAACTGGCAGAGACTGAGCAAGAGAGAGATCTTGGAGTTGTAGTGGATAACTCACTGAAAATGTCAAGACAGTGTGTGACTACAATAAAAAAGGCCAATGCTATGCTGGGGATTATTAGGAAGGGTATTGAAAACAGATCAGCCAATATAATAATGCCCCTATATAAATCAATGGTGAGACCTCATTTGGAATACTGTGTGCAGTTCTGGTCACCACACCTTAAAAAGGATATTATAGCTTTGGGAAAAGTGCAGAAAAGGGCAACTCGAATGATAAAAGGGTTGGAACACTTTCCCTTTGAAGAAAGGTTAAAGCGCTTAGGGCTCTTTAGCTTGGAGAAAAGACGACTGAGGGGTGACATGATCGAGGTTTATAAGATTATGCATGGGAAAGAGCAGGTAAAGAAAGAGGTACTTTTCTCCCTTTCTCACAATACAAGAACTCGTGGGCACTCCATGAAACTGCAGAGCGGTCGGGTTAGAACGGATAAAAGGAAGTACTTCTTCACCCAAAGAGTGATTAACACATGGAATTCACTGCCACAGGAAGTGGTGGGTGCTACAAGCATGGACGGCTTCAAAAGGGAATTAGATAAGCATATGGAGCAGAGGTCCATCAGTGGCTATTAGCCACAAGGTATAGCTAGGGGCTCTGGGGCAAGTGATGCTCTGTCTTCTTGGTGCTTGGGGGGGGGTCAACAGTGGGAGGGCTTCTAATGTCCTGGCCCCACTGCTGGACCTCCTGATGGCACTGGTATTTCTGGCCACTGTGTGACACAGAGTGTTGGACTGGATGGGCCTTTGGCCTGATCCAACATTGGCGTCTCTTATGTTCTTATGTTCTTATAAGTACCAGCATTTTGAATTATGCTCTGCCTATTTGCAGTTATGTACTACCACAACAGTGAAGAAGGGCTGCTCACCTAGTAGTTAGATAGTGAGGTTAAAGAGGTGAGATATGTGATTGAATCCAAAAGTTATTTTTGCCAACAGAAGGTGGGAATTTTTACCAGTTTTCCCTACTACTACCTGCCCCCCTGTGTTCCTGAAGATCGCCTGTGATCCAGTAGCAGGATTTTGAAAAACATACTGAGCTTCAGCCAACAGAGAATGACCCTTGGATCCAACTCATTATATTTATTTCTTCTTCCTTGGAAAAATATGAAAGTATAGTGGAGAAACCATATCCCTGTGACCCTCTGCCCACTACTTACAGATGTTCATCTGGCCTCATGAACCTTGCCTATTTTGAATAAATAGATTTGATAGTTTAAAATATGGCATTTCAAGGATAAGTTTTCCCCCCCTCCACAAATACTAAAGGTAAGATCGTGTAGCAGAATACTTCTTCAGGTACGAAGGATAAGAATGTGTTGCCAATTACTGATATTCTAGTTTATAAGTGCTACATAAAACATTATCCTTTTACTCCCACTGTCTCTTAAAGAGTAATTCATCAATGTGTTCTTGAACAAATAAGTGGTGATAGGAACACTTCTTATTACAAATACAAATAGCACATTCTTCTCACATGGCTCCTTCTATTCATCATTTTAAAATTACATGGAACAGGAAGGAGAGCCAGTTCTTGGCTGCTTCCCTTGCGGCACATTTTTTAAAAGGTGACATTTTGATGTGAGCATCATTTGCCATGAGTTACTTCAAAATATGGGCTGGGATCTTCTGGGGCCATATCTATTCCTGGCCGTGGACCTAGTAATAATATGTGTTGCTCACAGATTAAAATAAATTCAAAGTGAAGTTTTAAATAACTTCCAGGGTGCTTGTGTCAAAGCCATGTGCACTCCTCTGGCATCTCTCATCCAAGTCTTCTTTTGATGTCATTCCACGGCCTGCGAGAATAGCCATTATCTCTTTCTGTTCTCTCTGAGATACTGTTGCATGGCTATTTTTAGCAAAGGTCACACTATACATAAAGACAGCATCAACATCAGGAACTGTGTGCGTTGTGAGAGCCAAGTATCTTTGGAAAGGCTTAGCCTATTTCACTCTCTGGAATTTCATATGTCATTATGACTATATCTAATTCCAAACATGGCTCCATCTGCAGATACTTAAAACTGTAGATTGGGGCCATCTAGAGAGAAAACAGGTATTTCTACAATGTTGGGGTACGTCCAGGATTACAGAATATGAAAACTTTTAGGGGGGGCAGTTAAATCCCCCTAAACAGAGCATCATTGTCTGTGCTTGTGCAAATAACACGCTTTCATTGGCCTGCCATCATCTGTGGGGGGCACATGTGAGAGACTGGTGAGGTGGAGGGGAGCTGCAACCATCTGAGTCAGCTGGAGGAGACAGTGGGGCTGCAGGTGGATGGTGGAGGGAACAGTAGGAGAAGCAGCTGCCCACAATGACTGGTGGGCAGGCAGGCAGGCAGAGGCAGTGAGGTGGGAATGGGAGAGTGAGCTTCTCTATCCCCATTGCCATGTAAATCTGGCTGCAAACACAGGGGCACTGCAGGCTGGCAGGTGGATTGATAAGTAAAGGAAGAGGGGAATGATGGGATTCCCTCTGGCAACTGCCACACCCACCACTAAGGCAATGCTTCAGGTGAACAGGGGAGGGCAGGGGAGGAAGGCTGGGAGCCTCAAGAGCCATCGCATCCTGCTGCTTTCCCTCCATTTCCCACATGGACCCTGTGAGGTAAATTGAGTATGTGTGATGAACCTAAGGTCATCCAGGGAGCTTCCATGTTAGAATGAGAGTTCTGACCTGGGTCTCCCAGATCCTACTCTGAAACTCTAACCCCCACATCACACTGACTTTTGTGCAATGGCTGCTGTTAAGCACTAAGTGAGCAGCTAGGCCTTGGTGAGTTATGGAAGTCAAATGGTATCAAGTTGCCCAGTGTTTGCTGCTGGCCCTGATGAGTACATCATCAAAGACTAAAACAGCCCTCAAAAGCGGCCTGCCCCTTGCCTTTTGCTTACGGAATACAAGGCTGGAAGACTGACAAAACTGTTGCGTTTGCCTAGCAATGCCACTGAGGGCATTTGCCTAGCAATGCCACTGAGGGCATTTGCCTAGCAATGCCACTGAGGGCATTTGGAGCTTTTCTCAGGTTTGTAGAAATATCTGTCTTTTCTGTTTATGCCCCCAATCTCCAGATATCGAGTATTAGATATATTGAATATCCTAACTGAAGTTTTAGTCCTAGTCCTAAAAGTATGTCTAGTCCTAAAAGTAGTTCCAAAAAGATTAATCTTCAAAAGTCATTAGTGATCCAGGTTGATAATAGGCATCTCTACAGAGGCTATGTAAATCTGGTAAATTATCTGCTATTTCCTTCTGTTTTAGGGAGGATACTTTATCTCATAAAGTACAGCATCAAATCAGTGACACTGCTTCCCATTTGTGGTGCAAAGAGAGAATAGATCCGCTCCCTCTTCTACATGACAGCCCTTCAGATACTTGAAGATTGGCAATCATGTCCCCTCTAAGCCTTCTCTTTTCCAGGCTAAACATACCCAGCTCTTTCAGCCTTTCCTCATAAGACTTGGATTCCAACCCTCTCACCATCCTGGTTGCCCTCTTAAGAACATAAGAACATAAGAGACGCCAATGTTGGATCAGGCCAAAGGCCCATCCAGTCCAACTCTCTGTGTCACACAGTGGCCAGAAATACCAGGTGCCATCAGGAGGTCCACCAGTGGGGCCAGGACATTAGAAGCCCTCCCACTGTTGACCAGTGTTCCCTCTCAGCTGAGCTAGTGTGAGCTAGCTCACAGGTTTTTAGGCTCCGGCTCACAGATTTTTGTCTTAGCTCAGGAAGGAGGGCTCCAGAGCAAATTAATTTATGCAGCAGCCAAATCGCTCGCTCACCACTTTAATGCTAGTCGCTCACAAAGTAGAATTTTTGCTCACAAAACTCCACAGTTTAGAGGGAACATTGCTGTTGACCCCCCCCCCCCAAGCACTCTTCTAGAATCAAACTACTCGGAAAGCACAATTTTTGAATGAGACTCACAGGTCATCGGCCAGCACAGACGCATGCTCAACAGACAGGCAAATCTACATCTCAGACCTGGAAATTAACAAAACAAAAGAGAGAATAGATCCGCTCTGTCTTCTACATGAGGAGCTTTATTTCTATTTGAAAAAGTGTGTGTGTGCTTAGCACACGAAAGCTCACACCCTGAATAAACCTCTGTTGGTGTTAAAGGTGCCCGACTGGACTCTGAGTTTTGTTAGAGGCCCCACCGGACTCCAGATTTGCTCTGCTGCTTCAGAACGACACGGCCGGCCACCTGGATCTCTCTTCCTGGACATGAACACGGAGACAAAACCCTCCGGAGGGCAAGTGATTGGAGGACCTTCGCCTGAGCTGAGAGCGGGGCAAGCCGGGTCACGGCCCACAGGGCCCCCCCCTGACTCTGAGTTTCCAGAGGGCTCCCCCCCCGCCCCCCTCAGCCTTTGGCTGTCGGAAACTCAACGAGGGACTGATCCACCAAGACCATTTTTAAGCTCTCAGGAGCCGATGAATCATGGAAAGGGTAGGAACGTTCTTCCCCAGGGTCCCAAGCATGGAGGAAAACATGAAAAGGGGAATTTGTCGATGATGGCACAAACACACAAACACACACACCCGTCGCAGCATGAAATGCCACACGTCTTCCAAGAGGGCAGCGGAACAGCCAGACAGCCGCCTGCTCATAAGAACATAAGAACACAAGAGAGAAGCCAGTGTTGGATCAGGCCAATGGCCCATCCAGTCCAACACTCTGTGTCACACAGTGGCCAGAAATACCAGGTGCCATCAGGAGGTCCAGCAGTGGGGCCAGGACACTAGGAGCCCTCCCACTGTTGACCCCCACCTCCACACACCAAGAACACATAGCATCCCTTGCCCCAGACTGAGAGTTCCTGTCTATACCTTGTGGCTAAGAGCCACTGATGGACCTCTGCTCCATATAAGAACCTAAGAGAAGCCAATGTTGGATCAGGCCAGTGGCCCATCCAGTCCAACACTCTGTGTCACACAGTGGCCAGAAATACCAGGTGCCATCAGGAGGTCCAGCAGTGGGGCCAGGACACCAGAAGCCCTCCCACTCTTGCCCCCTTCCCCCCAAGCACCAAGAAGCACATCAACAGAAGTTGGAGTGTGGTTAAGTGCCTCTCATCTGCACGCCAGTTACAACATTAAGCTTAGAGGTCAGTATTGCTTATTTCTTTTATTGATTTACTAAATTCACATTCTGTCTCGCTGCCCTCACGAGGGCCAGGAAGGCAACGAACAATTTAAAACATACCTGATGAAACCCACATTTCAGAGCCATCAAAATCAACCCCTGCTCTCAAACCCACATCGTTACAACAGATCAAAAGCAGAGTTAAAATACATGCAATGTTAAGCAGGCCTACTCAGAGGTAAGTCCTAGTTTATTCAACGAGGCTCATATGTTTTTTTTAAAAAAGACAGAAGACACCGTCATACAGAACTCATTTCAGAGCCACTGTGGCGTAGTGACTAGGGTGTTGGGCTAGGAGACCCAGGTTCGAATCCCTGCTCTGCCATGGAAGCCCACTGGGTGACCTTGGGCCAGTCACACTCTCCGCCTAACCTACCCCACAGGGTTGTTGTGGGGATACCATGGAGAAGAGGAGAAGCGTGTAAGCCACTTTGGGTCCCCGCTAGGGAGAAAGGTGACATAAATGAAGTAATGGATTAAAAATTAAATAAAAGAAGAGGAGATTGGATTCATACCCCGCCCTTCACTACCCAAAGGAGTCTCAGAGCGGCTTACAGACTCCTTTCCCTTCCCTTCCCCACAACAGACACCCTGTGAGGTAGGTGGGGCTGAGAGAGCTCTGGCAGAAGCTGCTCTTGAGAGAACAGCTCTGAGAGAACTATGGCTTGCCCAAGGTCATCCAGCAGCTGCAAGAGGAGGAGTGTGGAATCAAACCCAGTTCTCCCAGATTAGACATAGCCTCTGTCTCAAATTTGGGTCTTAGTTCTAGGCATGGCTAACACAGCATGGCAAACGGACCTGGGACTTTCATTGCAGTGATTTTAGAGAACTACCGGCAGTTTAGTCCTGTGGACCTCTCATGATCCCTGCTTACAACAAGGAACTCACTGGGATTTATTTCTAAGTAAAGATGAGGCTGCAGACTGTCATACAGATGAAAGCCAGTATCAGGTTGGTCCTCTTTGGCCTTCTGATCGACATAAACCCACCTTGCAGTGATGGACACTCTGAAATTGTCATCACTATCAATGTTATAAAACTTCTCGTGCGGGACCAGAAGGACTTCAAAGCTTGGGAGCACTGGAAGGAAAACACAGAAGGAAGAGATTGTGTAATGATTTCTTGTTTTGGTGTCTGTGTTCCTTTAAATGTTTAGTTTGACTGCAGTAATGTAAGGAGAGTGATAGAGGAAGACAAGTGTGATGTGATTGGCTGATGACTGAGAGTGTGGGAGGAGGGGTGTCTATGAGGTGACTCTGTGTGTGAAGTTTGAAGAGAGCACATAGTCTGTGTGACTATGAGAGTTTGAGTCTATTCTGTATGAATAAAATAAGACAAACAGTTCAGCCTGTGTGACTATGAGAGTTTGAGTCTATAGGGGTGTCTATGAGGTGATTCTGTGTGTGAAGTTTGAAGAGAGCACATAGTCTGTGTGACTATGAGAATTTGAGTCTATTCTGTGTGAATAAGACAAACAGTTCAGCCTGTGTGGCTATATATATATATATGAGAGAGAGAGAGATTAGACTGAGTGTCTACACCTGTCAGAGTGGAGTTTGGAGTTTGAGAGACTATTTGTGATGCCAAGCTTTCCCAGTTCCTTTCTTCAGCATCAGTTCAAAATAACCAGAAACCTATTTTGTTCTTTATTAAATAAATCATTTTTATTTAAACTTATCCCAGCAATTAGAATAGTCCTCATTCTACCAAGAGAGAGAGATTTGGAATTTTTAATTCCTGGTGGCAACAGAAATCTACCAAGTTCATGTACACAGTGTGTTTTAAAGGTAAAACTGTCTCCCCGATAAGCGAGGACATCACAGATTGTAAACAGTCTGATTCTAGAGACCTGATGTCTGTTTTGTAAGGTTTTGGGGGGAGGTAGAAAACTGTTCCTTGGTGCTTTGGACAGAGGAGTACAGAGGAGTGTGGGAGGGATGCCGAGATTAACGGACATTCAAAAATCTGAACTTTTCCCCTCCCGCATTCAAGGGTCCTCGTCACAATTCTGGACATTACTTGCAATGCTTGAGTCTTCCCTGGGGAAGAGTCAAACGATAAATGCATCCTGGGATCAGGCAGAGGAGATGAACCAGAATTGACCATTCTTACCATATTCTTTGACTTCAAAATGTGTGGTGAAAGTATGCTGGGGAGAGTCTTCATACTTGGCCGTCACCATCCATGTTCCAAGGCTAGAGGAGAAAGAAATTCAGGAAGGGTGGAATTCTTTAGTGCTTCTGTTTCATCAGCTTTGTGACAATAAATGAGAAATAAGGGTTGTCCCCAGACTTTGTACACAGAATGGTATTACCCCAGAATGTTCCCTCTAAGCTGAGTTGGTGTGAGCTAGCTCACAGTTTTTTAGCCTCCGGCTCACGCATTTTTGTCTTAGCTCAGGAAGGGATGGCTCCAGAGCCAACTAATTGATGCAGTAGCCAAATCACCTGCTCACAACTTTAATGCAAGTAGCTCACAAAGTAGGATTTTGGCTCATGGGACTCCACAGCTTAGAGGGAACATTGGTCGTCTGTGTTTTTTGATGTTCACCCACAGGAAACAAAGTGAAGCTTGGAACAGAATAACTTGTCCAGAAAAACAGAGGCCCTGTTTGTGATGCGGTGCCCAGAGGCTCAGAAACACAGAAGGCACTGGACCTATTTCTTCCACAGCCGATATTTCAGGTTCGCTGCTGTAGAGATGGATCTAACCAGGGGTCATTTGGGGGGGGACGCGGGGGGACGCCATCTCCCCGGGTGAGGTGCGGGAGGGCAGGGCCTGGAGCTCCCTGCTGGTGCCCGCTGGAGGTCGCCGCTGGCTGTGGGGAGGACACACTTCCGGTGATGTCAGGGGGTGTGGCATATGCTAATGAGTTATGCTAATGAGTCCCCCTAGCTCTTTTTCTATGAAATGACCCCTGGATCTAACAGTGACATTCATAGTAAATTACCTCACAATCTCAGGTATATTGAAGGGCTGGATGTTTGTTGAAATAGAGGCAATGGAAACATGGTGGACTACAATGCCATCTGGTGTCTGGAAAGAGAAGAGAACATCATCATGTAAGGGAGAAGAAGGAGAAGAAGGACAAGGAGGAGGAGGAGAAGAGGAGAAGGAGAAGAAGAAGAGGAAGAGGAGGAGGAGGAGGAGGAGAGGGGTCTAGGAATTGTCAGAAACTCTATGGTCAGAGCTTCCTGTAAGGTTGTTTTTGCTTTGCCTCCAAGCCACAGCAAACTTATGGTGCACAGGGTTTTCAAAGTATGAGATGTCCAGACATGGTTTTCCATTGCCTGCCTCTGCATCATGACCGTGCACTGGCAGAGGAAGTGGTGGCAGCTACAAGCATGGACGGCTTCAAAAGGGAATTAGATAAGCATATGGAGCAGAGGTCCATCAGTGGCTATTAGCCACAAGGTATAGATAGGGGCAGGTGGCTCTTCACTGCACCAGGGGGTCTGGCATCCCTGAGAGGGCAGGGCACATTCATGAGGGGTTGTCACTCTCCCCAATGGCTACGAGCCTGAGCCCCACTGAGCTCGTAGTGAGGAGACTTTCACAGGAAATCGTGATGGAAAATGCCGTAAAGTTGCAGCCAGTTTTTGATGACCCTGTAGGGTTTTCAAGGCAAGAGAAATTCAGAGGTGGTTTGCCATTGCCTGCCTCTGCTCTGTTACTATGGACTTCCTTGGCAGTCTCCCATCCAAGTACGAACCAGGGCGATGCAGCTTAGCTTCTGAGAGTGGATGAGATTGGGCTAGCCTGTGCCCTCCAGGTCAAGGCAAAGAGAGGCGGGTTGCTGTTGCAATCTGAGTAGCAACCTTGGACTTTGTCGATGGTCTCCCATCCAAGTACGAACCTTAGCTGACCTTGCTCAGCTTCCGAAGTCTGACGACATCAGCTTATCCTGGGCCATCCAGGCCTAGGCAAGAGATGCTCAGATATGGATTGCCATTGCTTGCCTCAGCATGGCAGCCCAACTATTAACCAGGACCAACCCACAATGGAGCGGTGGCACAGAGGATTTATCCTCTGGTTAGTATTTTTTATTATTATTATTATTCACATTTCTATCCCGCCCTCCCCGGAGGCTCAGGGCGGCTTACAGGGCATATTGCCAGATAAATCCATAAAACAATACAAAATATTAAATTACAACCCTATT